TATTAAATTTTATCTTTTGGATTATTATTATTTTGACCAAATTTAAGTTCTATTTCCTTCATTTTTAATTCAAATTCTATCTTTGCCTTCTCTCTTTCAAATTCCCATTTTTGCTTTTCTATCTCCAATTTATACATTTCAATAGTATGATTTTTTTCTATTTTTTTTCTCTCTAATTCAATTTTTTTATCCCATACTCTTTCTCTAATTTTACTCATAGTAGAAATTGCAATAGCTAAAGAATCTACATTATTTTTTTTTTTGATTTTTTAGGTAAATTACATTCATTTTTCAAAGATTCTTCATTTTCATTATTGGTAAACCTATTTACTATAAAAGAAGGTGATATATTTTCGCAAATGCTAAACTAACTATCCATTTTTTCATACTATTCCAATCTTTTCTTTCTACACCAGATCTTTTATTATGATTTTTAATTTCTGTATAAGTTTTAATCATTCTTGTTACTTACTTTTAATAGCATTAGGTTCTTTGTTTTTTAACACATTTGTAGACATTTCATTAAATATCTTCATTTTATTTCCTTTTTTATACTCATCAAAATTATCAGTAATAAGTTGAATTAAAAGATCAATTTCATGATCTTTCCAAGTACAATTTGATTCATCTAAAGAATCTATTTTTCGTTTAATAGCAACTTTTTTTTTGTTAGAAATCTTTGTAACTTTCTAAATATATTTAAAAGTAAATTATTATTAAATAATCTTTGTAATTTAATAAAAAAATATAAATAAAATTAGTAATTTTTTTACTCACTTCTAATTCCTCTTTAGAAAAATCAAACTTTTCTTTTTCTTAAGTTAAGTCTATGTTTTGTAAATTGGCAGATTCTTTCTCAATGTCAATATAATCGACTGTAAAAGTACCTCTCAAAAATTGGTTATAATCATTATATGAATAATTAGAAGCAGCGAAATTTTGATAAGAAAATTGAAGACAGCTTTATTTTGTTCTTGTTCAAAAGAGCCAGTAGAATACTGCTTTGGGATTTTATTTGACAAAGTATTTAAGATATCTCTTGAAAATTCCATGATGAAAAAAACACATTAAATACATGTTATACTTGTCTCCTCAATTATCAGCTAAAAGATTTGACAATTTGATCAAACTGATCATCGAATTTGGTTGATCGCAATGATCATCATGAAGTCTAATTTTATTGGTCAGAAATTTGGTCTAACCCATTCAAACAAGCTGATCAATCAACTTTGAACTAGTCTAATAAGAAAATCCTATTTAGTAAAATACATCTTATTTCGGAAGCAAAAGAGATAGAAGAGCAGGAGAAGGAATTTTACAGTAAATTGCAGGCTGCCAAAAGTATCAAATTTGTTATTGGTGAAAAAAGTAACGAGTTCATTGGTCTGAACAGGCTAAAGCTGACGAATAATGAGAAATTTTCTCGTGACTTAGCAACAATACTGGCAAGGAAAAAAGAAGTAGTAGCAGTAAATTTGACAACTCATCTCGATTCCTGTATAATCAATATTTCTAAGAACAGTAATTGGCTCCAAGAAGGTTATCAATACATCAACAAAATCAAGGAATGCTTGATAAAAATATCAAAATATGAACCCATGTCATGGGAGGAAGCATTTACAAAGCATGATACAAAGGTTTTAATAACCAGCGTAATTAAGTACTGTTCTGGGAGGTTCGAATCAAGACTTAAGAAACTTAAAGATGATACTAAAAATAGTAAAAATGATCAATATATTAAATCCTTTCTAGAGTATGCTTCAAAGTCAGTTAACATTAATGATGGTAAAGCAAATCCACTCATCAAATCACAAGTTTGTTGCTATTATTATAAAGTATTCCTAAAGATGCTAGAGTTAATATCCAGCGGAAAGATTTTTTAAAGCACCTCAGAAAGGTAGGATCATATATGAGGTCTTTGATCAATATCACGAGTTATGCATGTAATGAAAAATATAAAGTCCTGTTTTCCAATATCGATCTGAATATATTGAAGCCTGTTGTTACTCATCAACCCATATTTTCATGGAAAAATATTATCCAACCTCTTATTCCTAGTTCTATGATGTATGTGGATTTCATGAATGCATGTTTGAGTAATAAAATCAAAGCGGACAAAATAGCAACAATATATGGTGGTATTCTGGAACATGATTTTACTATAAAATGCATATATTTACACGCTAAAATAAGCATATTGAACGAAATAATAAATCAGGAAAAAAAAACTAGGGCGTATATAGTAGTATCCAAAAAATGTTGTTACTTGTGTGAATTGTACATCAAATTTGCACAAAAACAAGGATATAATATCATCATTTCTGGAACGCACAGGAAGATATATAATCTATAGAAACTTCCAAGTTCAACAGATATCGCCTTCAAAAGTAATTTCCTGTCATATGCTCTAAAAGAACTTGATCGAACTATACAAGAAGGAGTAGATAATATCTCAGGAAGTTTATTATGGCTGGAATCTGATAGCGATGAAAGTAGCATGAATTCTGATCAAATTATGTTTGATGATAGTGAACATGTAGCTAGAGTGCAAACTGCACTTCAAGGTGCTTTTGAGTTTAATATGTAAAAATATAGGTGATTGTTGTTTTTAGTAAGGATATGCTAGAGTAGAAAATATATTTGCTATGTTTGCTTAATAACATTGTATAGTATAAAGGCGCATTTCAAAATTTATAATTTAGTGATAATTAATAAAATTATAGTAGCGAGTTCAATAGAAAAATTTAACCGTTACGATCAGTGACATGTGTAAAAAAAATTTTATTACGTTATAGCGATATATGATAGCACATAAAAATAAAAATGTTGATCGCCTTTTTGAAAACTGTTTTATCATATAAGTCACATGCAATTACAAATTTAAGTACTGACTTTCTCAATGATTGGCTAAGTTGCACTAACTGTGATTGGTTAGAATTTTATATGTCAACTTGTAAAATAAGTTCTTTCTTTTTTTGAATAATGTCCCAATTTTTTTTTATAAAAAAAAATGAAAACTAAAAACCTTGATCCTTGTTCTATTACAAATTGTATGCAGGCAAATATTAGGTTTCGTATTATTACGAAACTTGCGTATACAAAATGCTGTAAGAACTAAATGCTTCAAAAATACCCTTATCTTAAAATAGGAAAACAACTTTGCCATCCACACTATTGTAAGATAGTAGAGGCTGATAGAGGTCAAAGAAGACAAAAAATAAAACAAAAAAAAAAGTATTAGAACTAATAAAGCCTTCAAATAATAATGATTCCGGTAAGTATAACAGTATTTTTATTTGCATTATTGGCTTTTTAATATATATATTAACTTATAATTTTAATTTAAGATTGTACATTTGCTTTAAAGATACAAATATTAACTAAAGTATTATACTATCTACAATGTCAAGAGCATGTTGGATGCATCAAGATTGAGCATATGATTGAAGAAGCCAATTCTCAACTCTGGGGTTTTTTTAAATATATGACAAATTTAATGATTCCTAAAGAACGCTCTGCTTATAATATAAATAAAGCCAAAAAATCAATTGTCGGTTGTACTATATGATAGCAGGCTTAAGAAACAAATTTGTTAATCAACATAAATTAGAAGTTGGCTTATATCTAATAGCGTCAGATGCTAAAACAGTGGATAATTTTCAAAACAAATCAAAAAAGAAAGTATAATTAAAGAGCATTTTATAGAAAATGTAATTGTATATTAAATGTCTTAATAAAATTAAATATATAAATAAATATATATTAATTTAACCTCTTTTTTTATTAGAAAAATATGCTTCATATTTACAATATAGACGATTATCATGCGATTTATGAAATTCGAAGACCTAATACAGTTTCTACATCAGCTGCGAAACATTTTGTCACATGCGTAGCAAAATCTACTACAAAATCCCCTTTTATACCACTTATTTTTAATAATATATTAATACATAATCTATCAAATATTGATGCATGTAGAATTTGCTGATACTTAATTAATCAATATGCTAAAATATTTGATATTTCATATTTAGATTATCCAATGAATGAAAAGAAGAACAATTTACGAAAGAACTTCAATTAGTTTGATTTAAAGAATAAAATTAACATCCTGTTCAAGATTATTTTAATATATTAAAACTCGTTTTATCAATAAATGAGCATTTAGACTAATGCGTTGCACCAATTGTTGCTGATTGGCCTAGCCAGATATTTATTAGAAAGGCATTATATATGGAAATATTATCCCATGAAATTGAATTATTTTTACCTATGTTAGGTCCACTTCATTTATTATTAAATAGTTGAGAACAGGTTTTATTAGTATACCATTCTTTTTTTGAAAACTTATTTTACTTTATCTTTGCCAATTGTAAAAGTTAGCAAAAAAGCCTCATTCATAGAGAATAAATCTTTTGTTAGATCTTGCATGAGATGGTTGAATTAAAATAAAAAAACAAATTATGAAAAAATTTGGACAAACCTGTAAAGATATTGAATATCGTATTACAATTGATCTACTTGATAATTTAATCCCAGTAACACTTGATATTTATACAAATCTATTTTGATCAGGCTTATTTAATAAATATGTGAAAACAGTTTTTCAAATTTAGACATTTGCTTTACGTTGGAAACAGAAAAACTATAATAAGATGCTTCTTATTTTTTTATCAGATTTGTTTTATTGGAAAGATAATCAACATCTTTTTTATGATATTATTAAGACATATTTGCCAAATTTTAACGATTATTATGTGGAAAATACACATAGTCGAATTTGAGCAAACACCTTAGCAAATGCTATAGCTAATAATATTATAAAATAGGCTTATGTTATTAGTAATATTAGCATTTATATTTTAAAAAAATTATTAATAAATATTTTATTTGATAATTATAATAAACCATGACCTTGTATTTAAAAATGCATATTGCAAAACATGATGATATTCATACAATATCAGAACACTTGAATTTTTGTCAAATAAAGCCAGTCTTTTTTTATTACAATACTTTCAAAATATGTTCTATAATTGTGAACAAAGTGGACTTAAATAAACAACCAAAAAAAAAAGATACAACCAAAAATTTATCAATTTGCAACTATGAGAAAAGAAGTAGATTTATGATACTTACTAACGGCATATAGTACAGCATATCCACTACAACTCAGATTATGTGATTCTTATAAATTTTCATTAAATGAGAATGAAGGCACAGTATTTATTTGTGCTATGCTTATCATTTGGTTTGCTATAATGGAAAGTGTATTCATTGCGAAGAGTTTTATAAAAAAGGAATTTTTAAAAATGTTGATTCATTTTTAAAACGTATTGAAAAAGAAGCTAATACACTTATTTTAGAAGATCTTGATGATGATAACGATAGTGATGATGAGAATAAGAGTAATAATGATGACGAAATAGAAGAAAAGAAGAGTGAAAATTCTAAAATTTTATCTAAACTTATAAACGAAATTAATAGAATAGATTTTTGGTAAATATATGTTAATAAAAGCAAATAAATAATAAATGTTCTAATATAAAAAACCTTAAAAGTTATTTTTCGCATACCTAATTATTGTTAATTATATAATGTAGCAGTTTACTATCCCTTAAATCATAGGGTTTTGCAGGCAAATTTGCCTGCTTATTTACTATAAATTCTCTTCCTATAAGAAATCAAAATAAGGAAATAATACGTTTTTTATAAGGTTTGTATACGTAATTAATGATTCTATATCAAATTCTGTATGTTTTATAATGATTTATTTTTTTATAATTTTTTAAAAAATTAATGTATACAGAATTATTAAGGAATTTAAAAT